TTACTTGAGGAGTTGTGAAAATTGCCAGGTGAGAGTCATACCCGGCTTGCACATGTGGAAATACTGTCTGAATTGTGGTAGAACCTGTTGAACCTAAATTGGCCTCACCAGTCACGTAAGAGCCCAGAAATAGATCATGGGAGACCATCCTTGGTGGGGAGGGGTCATCGGCGTCATGGGCCAAGGAAAGTGAAATGCTGTTCCTCACCTCCTTCCAAACTCCCTTGAGGCCAGGACAGGGACTAGAGCCTTTCTCCATTTTCCAAGAACCATCCTTGGTGGGGAGGGGTCATCGGCGTCATGGGCCAAGGAAAGTGAAATGCTGTTCCCCACCTCCTTCCAAACTCCCTTGAGGCCAGGACAGGGACTAGAGCCTTTCTCCATTTTCCAAGGGACAGCACAAGGTAATTAGACATCTCAGGAAGCTGCTGACTCCCCAGCCTGGCAAGGGAGGCCCTGAGGGCCTGGGTGCTGGTGGAAGATGCTGCTTTCTAGAGGGGCCAGTCACCCAGTGCTGGTTCACATTGCACGCTGGGACGCCCCACAAAGGAACTGGGACACCTGGGTTCAGGTCCCTGCTTTGCTGCAGCTTAGCTTGGGGGATCCTCTGTTAAACGGCCTAAGAAGCTTGGTTTCCTCGCCTGTGTAATGAGGGAGTTGAGACAGATGATCTCAAACACCGTCTCCCCTCTTATGAAGGCAGCTCCTCAGATCTGCACAGGCCTCATTTCTGTCCTGCATAGACATTGCAAACAGTTCAGTGCACCCCTACCTCATACTCTGCGCACCCTGGGTCCCTTCCTCCCCTAGCCTTCTGTGGCCAGTGGCTCCTGGAGCAGGGTCTCTTTAGAGCCATGTGCTAAGCTTCCTGGGTCTGTCAGGTGAGTCCATTCGCTGCATCGCACCCCACCACCTCCCGCCCCACCCTGCCAAGGGATTCTCCAGGAGGAACTAAAGGTACTGTTTCCTTACTGGCCAGCGTTTGCATCCAAGGGATTCTGAGTTGGTGATGTTTTCTCCAAGAGAGGGCTTGGAGCTGGGGCATGGCTTGTGGTGTGTTCAGAGCAGGAGGAAGACTTGGCCTTGCTCTTGGGCAGCTAGATTTATTGTGAACCTTATTCCCAAAGGCTCTGCTAAAACCTGCTTCTTGTGGCCCAGAGCCCCTTGTCTGCTTGGAGGCAGTGTCCCTTTGCCTGGCCACCCTTTTTTTAGACTAAGTCTGTGCTGGCAGTAGTCTCAGGGGTTTCCCCATCAGCACCTGCATCATTTCCCCCAGAGGAACCAGGCTCTACCTTGTTGAAAATCTGCTGGGCTCATGGGATTCATGGAGAGGGTGGAGGCCCAGCTGGACGGGAAGGAGGTATCTCTGAGGTGTTACCACTACCCAGTTGTGCCTGTGAGCTGGGCAGGGCAGCCCCTCCCGAGCCAGAGCTTGGTATCTGCATAGCCACTCTGATGGCTAGAAACATGCAGCCCTGCCCACCCCGCTACCTGGGCTGGGGCTTCTCCATGGAAGCAGTGTGGGTCAACCCCACAGAAGGCCAGAGGATGGGATGGTGTTGCCGCTTGTTCCTGAGGCGACCACTCCCAGGAGGAGGGAAGGTCAGAGTCCCCTGGAAAGAGTAGAGTTTGGAGCAGGGCCTTTCCCTCCATAGGAGGTTGCTGTGTCAGCTGTCTGGCATCTCTCGATTCCCTGTGGCTCTCTGTCACTGAGGCCTGGGGGTGAGGAAAGGACCCAGGACCCAGGGCCTTGCAGTCTCGTGACCATCTCCTGGGCCTTTCAGGAGGGCTCTTTGCTAGCTAGAGCTTCCAACCCATCTCCTTAGGAAAAATGCCCCTCTGCCTGCCCTCTTCTCTTTCCAGAGTTCTCCAACTTTCCTTGGTCCACCAGGAGGCGGCCAAGAGCCTCCTTCTATCATAACATGCTCACTTCCCTTCCAGGTGCTTGGTTCTGATGGCAGCTGCTGCCACCTGCTCTGCTCATGCCAAGCTGGCAGAGGGCACAGATCCTCGAGGAGGTGCAAGGCCAGCCAGGCTCTAGGTTCTGTGACTGGCAGATGATATTCAAGGGACTCCATGCCCCCTGCTTTCTCTGAACCCATCTGAGCAGCCACACCCCTTGCAGTTTGGATGGAGCAGGTTGCCCCCTGGCAGGCTGCCTGCTGCTCAGGCCCTGCAGTGCCTGCAATTAATATTCTCCAGTCACCCATGCTTCCTGTTGCATGGGAACAAGGCTGTGGCAGAGCCCTCTAGCCACCCTGCCACTGGCATACCAATGGGGCTGCGGCTCCCACTGCAGCACAGGGCCTAGCATATTAATATTCTCCAGTCACCCATGCTTCCTGTTGCATGGGAACAAGGCTGTGTGGCAGAGCCCTCTAGCCACCCTGCCACCGGCATACCAATGGGGCTGCGGCTCCCACTGCAGCACAGGGCCTAGCATCTCTGCTGCTGCAGCGGCAGTGGCAGCCCTGGTGGGAGATTCCCCTGACCTGAACCTGTATGTTTTCTGATTCTGCAAGGGAAGCCAGTACAGCGGGCGGCAGTTCCAGCCTGAGGCAGGGTTATCTGCTGGGAGCCAGGAGCGCTTGGACCCCTGCCCTTCCTTGGGCAGGCGGGCTGGCATCCGGCTCCTGCAGTCCCGGCACTGCCGAGAGCAGCAGGTTGAAGCCTGTCCACCTCTTGGCTGAGTGATCAGAGTTCCATGGGCCAAGCCAGCCTTGCCTAGGAACAGATAACCCTCCAGCCAGCTTGGGGCCTCGCTGAGTACTTCAGGGGCTCAGAAGACCCCAGCCTGGCTGACTGACTCCTTGCCACCACCCTAGTTTGCATCCTGGACTAGGGCTAGCCCCTTCTAGAAAGGCCTTCTGCAGTTTCCAAGGCCCCTTCCTTGTGGTACTGGGGCAGTTCATGGGTTGGGAGGGAAAGTGAGTGAGTGTGTGTGTGTAACCCCACCCTCCTGGCCACATCTGGCCACTCCTGCAGATGTGGCTCTGGCCTTGTGGCCGCAGAGTCGTCAGTAGGGCTGGCGGGAAAACCACAGAAGAATGTGCCCAGCAGTGCTACGGGGAGAATGGGCTGGTGGGGGCAGAGAGGGATATCCTGCTCAGGATTTACCTTCTCCCGCCCCACTCCTGCCTCCAGTGGGTCCCAGAGGCCACATTCACGCATGAAGGTGGCATTGCCCTTGCCTTGGTGATACCCATTTAGTGCTGGGTTCCCTGGAGAGATCTAGGCCCATCCGGACAGGGTGTGGGGCCTCTCAGCCCACTGATTGCCCCCTCCCAACTCCTTCTATAGTCTAGATGAGGGATGGCAGTGGGGGACTGGGGCGAGGCCTGTTCACGAGGGCAGAAGACACTGTCAGACTTCGGGGTATTGGGCTCTTTTCTTCTCCAGGCCTGGGCTGGAGTGGGCCACTTTGCCTCAGGAGAGTCTTCTTAGCCCTCTGTGGCCTCCCTGGGTTGTATTGAGGAAAGCACGAGGGCTTTCTTTGGAGAAAGAAGTGGCAAAGAAACAAGATGGGTTGGCGGGTTGGCCCTGCCTCTCACTTCCTCCTTCCCAGGCAGTGGTATCCTGCCTTCCCCTTCCTGCTGGCTCCGAGGCTTTGTGGGGTGTGGGCTGCTTGGGGCTCCCTGCTGCTGTGGTGTTTGCCTAGTTACCCTGGCAACCACAGGGCAGTGGTGGGAACTGACATTCAGTGACCAGAGGACAGTGTACAGGGATCAAGAGGTTGAGACTGGAACCTTTTGCACTCTCTGGGGCCCCTTGGCCCATTGTCCACGTGGGGGCCCCAGTCAGAGGTCTTGGAACCCAGCAGACCTCTCCACCACCTTTCCCTTCCCAGCCAGTTCTCCCTGGGACTGGAGTTCCGAGATCTCTGCCTCAGCTCCAGCCCTCCCCCTTGCCATTCCCTTTCTTCCTGTCTGATTCCTTTTCCTTTCCTGTCTCCTCCTCCCACCTCCTCCCTGCAGCCTGCCTGCCCATTCTCTCATTCCCCCTTCCCCCCCCAGGCACAGCTGCTGTTTGGCTCACTCTATATATAGCGGCATTTTCAGGGTAATTCCTCACCTCCTCCCTGCAGCCTGCCTGCCCATTCTCTCATTCCCCCTCCCCCCCCCAGGCACAGCTGCTGTTTGGCTCACTCTATATATAGCGGCATTTTCAGGGTAATTACAATAAAACTGTTGAAAGGAGATAATCCAGCAAAGGAAGCGAGTCTGACTCCCAGCCCCTCCTGTCCCTGACTTGGTGCAGCCCTGAGCCCCCTTTCCCTGAGGCCTCCTGTTCCCACACCACCCTCCATTCCCATAGCCTGTCCGTTCTGCCCCATCTGCCCCAGCTGGGTATGAGGCAGAGAAAAGGAGAAAAGGCAGGGATGTCCAGAAAGTCTCCACAGGCCTCTCCTGGGTTTACCAAGGGCCCTGGCTGCCAACCCTATCAGTACTACAACCAACCTCTGTGCCTCAGTTTCTCTCCTAGGATAGGCTTTGCTGGGGTCATGGTGTTGAGAGATGGAAAGAGGGCTCAGGACAATGGTTAAAAGCACAGGACTTGGATTCATGTCCTGGTTCTTCAACCAACTGGTTGTGTCTGATCAAATTATTTAAACCTCTCTAATCCTCAGTTTCCTCATCAGTAAAATGGGATAATAATAGCACCTAGTCATAAGTAACCATGAAGTTTGAGTTATTCATGTAAAATGCCCATTGCTGTTAACTGTCAATGACAATATTACATGTTGAGCACTCACAGCCTGCCAGGTACTGGGCTACATGCTTTTGCATATTTTCTTATTGAAGCTCATGGCTTCAACCTCATTTAATTAAGGCGGAAGGCTGCATCCATGCAGTATGAGGGACTTGACTTCCCTTCTCTCTCTGTTGTCCTTGGGCCTAGTAGTCCTGCCTGGTAGCTCTCTGGGCCCCAGGCATGGCTGCTAGGGCCAGTGGGGTCTGGAATTGGGCCCACTGACCCTTTGCTGTCTCTTCTGCCCACAGTGGAGGTGAAGCCGGTGCTGCCAGGAGCCATGCCCAGCTCCATGGGGGGTGGGGGTGGAGGCAGCCCCAGCCCTGTGGAGCTGCGGGGGGCTCTGGCAGGCCCTGTGGACCCCACACTGCGGGAGCAGCAATTGCAACAGGAGCTTCTGGCGCTCAAGCAGCAGCAGCAGCTGCAGAAGCAGCTCCTGTTCGCCGAGTTCCAGAAACAGCATGACCACCTGACCCGGCAGCATGAGGTCCAGCTGCAAAAGCACCTCAAGGTGAGCGAGGGGGCGCGGGGGGCCACCCAGACCTCCGACCCCTGCCCGGGCCTGGCTCACCTCCGCTTCCTCTCCCTGTGCTCCTGCAGCAGCAGCAGGAGATGCTGGCAGCCAAGAGGCAGCAGGAGCTGGAGCAGCAGCGGCAGCGGGAGCAGCAGCGGCAGGAGGAGCTGGAGAAGCAGCGGCTAGAGCAGCAGCTGCTCATCCTGCGAAACAAGGAGAAGAGCAAAGAGAGTAAGGCCAGGGGCCTCCTGGGGCCTCCTGGGCATGCCACCTGGGACCCCTGCTCCCCACTGTGGGGTCCTGGCCTCGAGCATCCAGGTCAGCTGTGCCCTGTCCTGCAGGTGCCATTGCCAGCACTGAGGTAAAGCTGAGGCTCCAGGAATTCCTCTTGTCGAAGTCAAAGGAGCCCACGCCAGGCGGCCTCAACCATTCCCTCCCACAGCACCCCAAATGCTGGTAATGGCCCTGGGCAGGCACGGGTGGGCAGAGGGGCCCTGCTCAGGGGCTGCCCGGCTACATGGCAAGGGGCTCCTGCCCTGTGGCCATATATTGGCCCCACAATCTCTCCTAACAGAGGAGACTCCCACCTGTGGTTTCTCTCCTCATTTCCCTCCCCAGGACCCATTTCCTATCCCTGTATACAATGGACTTTTCCTAATGTAGATTGCCAGGTGGCAGGTCCAGCTGGCTGGGTGATAACCTAGATCTGCTTCCATCCCCACCCCTCACCCCAGGGGAGCCCACCATGCTTCTTTGGACCAGAGTTCCCCTCCCCAGAGTGGCCCCCCTGGGACGCCTCCTTCCTATAAACTGCCTTTGCTTGGGCCCTACGATAGCCGTGATGACTTCCCCCTCCGCAAAACAGGTGAGTGAGTGCCCAACCTGGCCTCCCAGAGTATGGCTCCTGAGAGGCAGTGGTGGGAAAGTGGAGGGGGCAGGGCTGCTGATGGGAGTCAGCCCCGTGTGCTGGGCTGGGCTGCAGGTGTGTGCTCAGGTGTATGCATGTACCTGAGTCCTGGTTACCTTCTCTCCAGCCTCTGAACCCAACCTGAAAGTGCGTTCGAGGCTAAAACAGAAGGTGGCTGAGCGGAGAAGCAGTCCCCTCCTACGTCGCAAGGATGGGACGGTCATTAGCACCTTTAAGAAGAGAGCTGCTGAGATCACAGGTGCTGGGCCTGGAGGTAAGGGCTCCTTTCATGTCCTTGTTCTGAGGGTCTGGGAGTGGCATGTGGCTCAGAGCAGGCCCAGGTGACAGCCACTTCTCCTCTAGTGTCATCCGTGTGTAACAGTGCGCCAGGCTCCGGCCCCAGCTCTCCCAACAGCTCCCACAGCACCATCTCTGAGAACGGCTTTACTGGCTCAGTTCCCAACATCCCCACTGAGGTACAAGCCTGGCTGAGGGCTGGGTAGGGCGGGGACAAGCTGTTCTCTTTCTCTTGGAGGAGAGTCTCTTCCAGTTTGGCTGAGTGCCCAGTAGAGACCTCTCTGCCCACTTGGACAGCCTGGAGGGCATTTGCTTGGACTTGTTACCTTGAAGGGGGATTTGTTCCACAGGCTGTGAAGGGCTCTGATCTCTCAGTTACTCCCAATTGGGGCTCAGAGTGGGGGGAATGGGATACCATTCAGAGACCTTGGCCTTGGCCCCAGGTTGCCCTCTTTTGTGTCTCCCCTTTGCCCACTCTCATGCCCGTCTCTCTTGGCTGCTTCCCAGATGCTCCCCCAGCACCGGGCCCTCCCTCTGGATAGCTCCCCCAACCAGTTCAGCCTCTACACGTCTCCCTCTCTGCCCAACATCTCCCTAGGACTGCAGGCCACGGTCACTGTCACCAACTCGCACCTCACCGTAAGTACAGGGCACATACCCCATCTTCCCTCTGGTGTTGAGGTCACCTGTCCTAGATGGCCCAGCTGGATCTTTTGTCCTCCCAAGCCCCTGAGGGAGATCAGATGGTCCTACCCAGAGCTGAGGGGTGGGCAGAGGGTAGATGAGGGATTCTGGTCACAGGTTGGCAGAACTTGGGGAAGTAGAGAGCCTTTCTTATCTCCCATCTCTTCACCCTCACCAGGCCTCCCCAAAGCTGTCGACGCAGCAGGAGGCCGAGAGGCAGGCCCTCCAGTCTCTGCGGCAGGGCGGCACACTGACGGGCAAGTTCATGAGCACATCCTCCATCCCCGGCTGCCTGCTGGGCGTGGCGCTGGAGGGCGACTCGAACCCTCATGGGCATGCCTCCCTACTGCAGCACGTGCTGTTGCTGGAGCAGGCCCGGCAGCAGAGCACCCTCATCGCTGGTGAGTGGGCAGGAGGCTGTGCAAGGGAGGGGGTGCTCAAGTCAGGTCCACCTGTCAGGGATACTTTCTGGCCCTGTCATAGCTCCCCTCAGCAGGAGCATTGATTTCTTCCACATTCTGGAAACATCGAGTCCCTACAGCATGCCAGGCACTGTTCTTGACTAAATGTGCTGCCACCACTGAGTTCACATTCCAGAGCAGCACTGTCCAGTAGAAACATAACACAAACCACATACATAATTTAAAGCTTTCTAGTAGCCACGTTAAAACATGTGAAAAGAAACAGGTGGAATTAATTTTATAGCATATATTTAACTCAGTATATATCCAGAATATTATCATTTCAACATGTAATAAATATAGTTATTAATATTTTACTTTTTGTTTCATACTAAGTCTTTGAAATCCAGTGTCTATTTCACACATACAGCTGATCTCAATTTAGACAGGCCATGTTTTAAGGGCTTAGAAGTCACATGTGGCTAGTAGCTACGGGACAGGACAGCACAGCTTTAGACAGTCAGCCCTTAAGTACCTGTTGCCATCAGAAGAGGTTCTGCTTGGAAGATACCTGATCCTGGCCCCAGAGCTTCCCAGCCTGGTGGGATCAGTGGGGGTCCGTGATCAGGGAGGTCTTGTCGCAGTTGGAGAGAACTAGTCATTGTTCACCCACACAGAGGGCTCAAGACTACATGTGCACTCAGTAAAGCAAATTTAAGGGAGAGAACGGTGAATCCAGGAAGGCTTGCTGGAGGTGATGCCTCTGAGCTTTGGGACTTTTCAGTCGTGGGAAGGAGAAAGAATGGGGCTCAGGCTTGTGGGCAGGATATGTAGGTAGTGGTGTTCTGGGGGGGGGAATAGGGTTGGGATGGGAGGAGGGGCCTGGTTCCCTGACAATGGTGCTTACTCCGTGGGAAGGAGAAAGAATGGGGCTCAGGCTTGTGGGCAGGATATGTAGGTAGTGGTGTTCTGGGGGGGGAATAGGGTTGGGATGGGAGGAGGGGCCTGGTTCCCTGACAATGGTGCTTACTCCCCGCTCCATAGTGCCGCTCCATGGGCAGTCCCCGCTGGTGACGGGTGAACGCGTGGCCACCAGCATGCGGACAGTGGGCAAGCTCCCACGGCACCGGCCCCTGAGCCGCACTCAGTCTTCGCCACTGCCACAGAGTCCCCAGGCCCTGCAGCAGCTGGTCATGCAACAGCAGCACCAGCAGTTCCTGGAGAAGCAGAAGCAGCAGCAGCAGCTGCAGTTGGGCAAAGTGAGCCTGGGAGACCAATGTCCTGGGGCCGTGCTGGGGCAGGACGCGGGAAAGCACCAGGCTGGCAGAAAGGGAGTGGGGGGCGCCACCCAGGCCCCCCCTGGGGCTGTGTGTCTGTCTTTTTCTGATTCATGTAGGAGATGTGTATGGGCTGGTGTCTGCTGGGAGAATGGAGGGAAGGATGGCCCGTCTGGGGTGCAGGCTGCGCAGCTGCTCCTCCTCCCAGCTGATGTGCCCCCCATGTTCTGCTCTCAGATCCTCACCAAGACAGGGGAGCTTCCCAGGCAGCCCACTACCCACCCAGAGGAGACAGAGGAGGAGCTGACTGAGCAGCAGGAGGCCTTGTTGGGGGAAGGAGCCCTGACCATGCCCCGGGAAGGCTCCACGGAGAGCGAGAGCACACAGGAAGACCTGGAGGAGGAGGAAGAGGAGGAAGAAGATGAGGAGGACTGTATTCAGGTCAAGGACGAGGAGGGCGAGAGTGGCACTGAGGAAGGGCCCGACTTGGAGGAGTCCAGTGCTGGTTACAAAAAGGTGACTCCCCCACCGCCGACCCTTAGCCCCAGCCCTTGATCACCATCCCTCTGTCCTTTCCCATCCATTCTTTCAACCCTTGACTTTCCCTCTCCCCAGCTGTGCAGTTTCCAGGCTGTGCAGGAGCAGCAAAAAGGGGAGTAGGAAAGAGGCTGGGGAGGAATGGAGTGAGGGAGCTGCTGTGTTGGTCTCAGAGCTGTGCTTGATCCAGTCTGCCAGCCCTTCCTGGTGTCTGTGACTGCCCCCGCCTCCCTGCTTGTGTGTGTGAGCGCGTGCATGCATGCACACACACGTGGCCTGTGTGTGTCTGCATTTCTGCCTGCGCAGGGCCGGTTGTGCGTCGGTCTCTGAGCATGCATGCGCTTGTGTACACACACGCCCCCGTGGTTACTACAGTCTGGGTTGTGCCTAGCTGCGCTCCATTCATTGCGGACACAGCTGAGCCCTCCAGGCCTGACTCATCCCGCCGCGCCCCCACCCCCGCCCCCCCAGCCTCTTACCTCAATGCTACTCTTTTGGTGTGACTCATCACATCCCCCCATCCCTCCCCATCTCAGAGGAGATGGCAAGGCTGGAGTGTCTCCTGTCCCTGGAGGGAGCCAGTGGGAGGAGGTGGGGGAAGGAGGAGACGTGGAAAAGAAGAGCTGGATTACAGCCCCCCTGGAGGCCCCAAGGGCGCCTGCCCTGACTTCCATGCAGGCTGAGCCTCACCCAGGCTCTTTCCCACTCTCCCCCTCCCCAGCTGTTCTCAGACGCCCAGCAGCTGCAGCCGCTGCAGGTGTACCAGGCACCCCTCAGCCTGGCCACTGTGCCCCACCAGGCCCTGGGCCGCACCCAGTCCTCACCTGCTGCCCCTGGGGGCATGAAGAGCCCCCCAGACCAGCCCACCAAGCACCTTTTCACCACAGGTGAGTCCACCACTGCCTGTTACATCCTGTGTACCAGGGGGCCTGTGCAGGGCATCCAGCCCTGTGGGCAGTGAAGGGACTGCCAGGGCCCCTTGGACACCCTGTATGGAGGGAAAACAGGCTGTCTTTCTTGTCCTGTGCCCCACAGCTACTCATGGTAGCAGCAGCAGCTTTCCATCCGGCTGGGAGGTGGGCAGCCCTGCCCCTACCTACTGGGCCAGAATCTTTTTCATCCTCCCGAGAGACCACCTGGTTTTGTGCTATCACTGTGCAGCTCTGGGGCCCTGGGTAGAGAAAGCCTACTGCCACTTTTGGGTCCAGCCCTTCTAGCTTAACCTCCTTCTCCCTGTGAGGTCAAGGATGAGGCCTCAGTGAGTTCCAGAAAACTCTTCCCTATCAGCACCGCACTCTACCGAGTGAGCCACAGGCCGGCCCAGAAAACTCTTCCCTATAAAGTAGCCACATGTTGGGCTCTGAGGGGAACACAAACATGTCTGAGGATGGCTCCATCTCACCAGTGGGGAGCTGCACACATGGACGGGGACGGGAGTGGGGAAAGGAGGATGTGCTAAGAGTGGGGTACAGCAGAGGGGGCACAGTGGGCAGAGATCAAGGGCAGCCTTGTTGAGGCTTGAGGGGCAGGCAGGCTTTTGACAGGCAATAATGGGAAAAGGAATTTCAGGAGAGAAGAGAGGGGCAAAAGTTGGAGAGGAGAGGGGTCAGGTGTGTGGAGGGTGGCTGGGGTGGCCATGGGGAGGTGTTTGGGCAGGAGGTGTGTTGGGGAGGCTCAGTGAGCTCTGCTGAGGACTGCGATGGCCAGGCTGTGACTCTGGGCCCAGAGCAGTGCTGGCTGACGCATGGGTCTGTGCTCAGGTGTGGTCTACGACACGTTTATGCTGAAGCACCAGTGCATGTGCGGAAACACACATGTGCACCCTGAGCATGCTGGCCGGATCCAGAGCATCTGGTCCCGGCTGCAGGAGACAGGCCTACTTAGCAAGTGCGAGGTAAGGGAGCTCCTCCTTCTCCAGCCTGCAGCCTAAATCCAGCAAAAGCCTTTGTCTCTCCCCTATTAGTGAAGCCTGTCTCCGTGTCTCTTCCTCATCCTTTCTTCAACCATAGACCTTGGGGCCAGTCCCCCCAACCACCCCCCAGTTCCAACTCTTGGAGCCTGTTTTCCCCCATGGTCCCTAACTGAATGGGGGAGGATCCTGGAGTAGGGTCCCTGGGGGGTCAGGGCATACTTTCTTAAACACCGTTGGATCTCCTGAGGCCAGAAAGTGGCTCTGTGTGCCCGGGAATGTGGAATTGAGAAGGGATCCAGGCGTCAGGAGAGCAGAGCCTTCAGTGTGACCCCTCTCAATGACCTCTCCTCCTGCCCTCCCCTGGCAGCGGATTCGGGGTCGCAAAGCCACACTGGACGAGATCCAGACAGTGCACTCCGAATACCATACACTGCTTTATGGGACCAGCCCCCTCAACCGGCAGAAGCTGGACAGCAAGAAGCTGCTCGGTGAGCTGGCAGGCTGATGGGCATGTCCACTGTCTGGGTGAGATGGGAGCTGTCAGAAGGAGCTGGTTAGGGTAGGCAGGTGGTCCCAAGGGGCACAGGTCATCCTCTTGGCAGAGGTGGCACAATTGCCATTCACACCCTTCCAGAGGGTGAGACTAACATAGCTACAGTGTGACAGGAGCATGCTGGTGGGGCACAGTGCCAGAGGATGGAAGTGATGGGTCGGCTTGTTGGGGGGTGTGAGGTGCTTTGTTCCTCCCCCAGCCCATCATGCCCCTCTCCCTGCCATCTGCTCCCAGAGGTAGGCTGTCCTACAAGAACAGGGGACAGACAGCTTCCAACTCGCGTGGGCTGCAGAGGCCTGTCCTGTGCTTGGGTCTGAGCCTTCATTTTCTGTGGCTGAGCTCAATGCCCTCTGCAGAACCAGACCTGCAGTCCCAGCAGTTGAGAGCAGAGAGTAGCTCTGTCCCTCTTCCCTGCAGGCCCCATCAGCCAGAAGATGTATGCCATGCTACCTTGTGGCGGCATTGGGGTGAGTAGGGTGTGCCCCAGTGGGGGTGGGTGGGCCTCTCCCAGCTCTGGCCTCTCTCTTCCTCCCCACCATGGCTGCTGGCCTACTGTCTGGGTGCCCGCCCCCATTCTTGCTCTCACCCTGCAGGGAGCACACTGAAGCTTGCTCTCCTGCCCCCACAGGTGGACAGTGACACTGTGTGGAATGAGATGCACTCCTCCAGTGCCGTGCGCATGGCGGTGGGCTGCCTAGTGGAGCTGGCCTTCAAGGTGGCTGCAGGAGAACTCAAGGTGAGAGCTTGTGGCCTTGGCATCCCTTGGCTTGGTCCTCCATCCTCAGGAGTGGAGGACGAGGGCAGACTTGGTTTCCCTATAGTGAGGCACTGTCCTTTGCAACTTCAACTGTTAGGCACCAGTATGGGGAAGAGGTGACAGCTCCAGGGACAACTGGGGGTTGGGGGGTATGAGGGACCGACAGATAGGCACTGATGCCTGGTGCTCTTCTGGGTGTCTCAAGGGCAGAGATGATATGAATGGCAGATATTCATAATGATGTGTTGAATATATACATATTTTCTGATCTGTGTTCTCTTCCCTGCCTGGCTTGTGCTTCTCTCCCCTTCTCTCCACCCCTCCATGACCTCGCCTTCCTGTCTGTCTCTTGCCTCTGCCTGCACCTCTTCAGAATGGATTTGCTATCATCAGGCCCCCAGGACACCACGCAGAGGAATCCACAGCCATGTGAGTGCTGTCCCCTCCCTGCCTGAGACCCTCTGCCCTTGCGAACCCTTCACCTCTTTTGCGAAGCAAACATCACACTGAAGCTGACCGCCCCACCCTTTGTCCCCCTACCCCCCTCAGGGGATTCTGCTTCTTCAACTCTGTAGCCATCACAGCTAAACTCCTGCAGCAGAAGTTGAACGTGGGCAAGGTCCTCATCGTGGACTGGGTACGCAGTGGGCTGGTGGTGCTGGGCAGGGGCAGGCAGAGATGGGACAAGGGTTAGCCTTCAGGAAGCCCCCTCCCCTAACCCCGTCTTCAGGCAGCCCACTCTTCCTGGGGTGCAGATGGACACTGGGTCTCCTGCCTTGGTCTCATCTTAATGACTAACTGACATTCCTCCTGCTGGATCATCAGCTCAGTCCTCACAATCCTCCCCTAACCCCGTCTTCAGGCAGCCCACTCTTCCTGGGGTGCAGATGGACACTGGGTCTCCTGCCTTGATCTCATCTTAATGACTAACTGACATTCCTCCTGCTGGATCATCAGCTCAGTCCTCACAATCCAATAGGGTTCCCTCCTTACTATGAGAGACTAGAAAGTGCTTTAGCCCGTTTCATCTTGGCCCCCACCTTGCAGCCTCAAGCAACCAATGGGATTTCCTACCTTGTACAGTAGAAAGGCCACCGCCATTGCTAATAGCCACTTTTCTCTTCCACCCACACGATTGGGGGCTGACCATGGGCCAGGAATCTGATTAGTACTTGACACATGGTGCTGCTTCTGGCCACCTTGAGTAGTAAGAACTAGGATGTCCATTTCTATAAATGAAGGCACTGTTGGGTGACTTACCCAAGGTTGCTTAGCTTGGGGTGGTGGCACTGGGTTTCAGAGTAGGCTTTGTGGTCCCAACACTTCCACTCTTGCTACTATGGGTGCTTCTCAAACCCTGCCCCTAGTGGCAGAGGGAAAGGCACACACCACTTGCTGTGAGCCAGGAAGTAGCCAGGAGCAGTCCTCAGCAAGGATGAAATCCCTTTGAAGCTTAAAAATTCATGTAAATGTTAGATCCTTCTTCACAATTTATCTGCTTGTTTTGAATTCCTTACTAACCTTAATGTTTCCCCCCAAACTGTTATGTGGAATGGGTTCTGCAGGGAGATACACTGCATTTGCACCGTGGCTTTGTGTATCCCCTATGCGGTGTCACATCATAGTGCAGAGCCCAGTTAGAGAAGCGAGGACTGGGTGAGACTGTTGTGAATGGAACATGGATGTCCTGTGGCCAGTGGTTGCTGCACCCCCACAGCTCACCATAGGGTGCAGTGGGGACCTGTGGAATTTGGACCTTTGGGTCAGAGCTTGGCCATTTTCCTGATGCTTCCACCCTCCTCACTAGGACATTCACCATGGCAATGGCACCCAGCAAGCGTTCTACAACGATCCCTCTGTGCTCTACATCTCTCTGCATCGCTATGACAATGGGAACTTCTTTCCAGGCTCTGGGGCTCCTGAAGAGGTACAGCTCCTGGGCCTAAAACCCTCCGGGAGGTAGCAGAATAGGACCTGGCGGGGAGCTACGGAGGCCCATGGTGGTGCTGGTACCTGGGGAGTCTGGGCTCCTAGTGGGAGGACCACACTGGCCTGACTGCCCCTCCAGGCAGCGCAGAGGTCAGTGGAGTGAGACCTGGAGGCAGGGGTGAGGGTGGGGCAATGACTAGGATCCCCAGGCAGTGAGAATGACCCCCTCCCCTGCCCTGGTGCCAGGTTGGTGGAGGGCCAGGCGTGGGGTACAATGTGAATGTGGCATGGACAGGAGGTGTGGACCCCCCCATCGGAGACGTGGAGTACCTGACAGCCTTCAGGTGGGGACTATGGAGGGCCCTGGGAGGGATGGGGAGCCACCCTGGGCCTCGCAGTGGGAGGGGCAGAAGACATTCACTTCAGTGTGGGTGGAGGGGGTAGCTGCCTCTGGGAGGAGAAGAGTGGGCCAAAGCTTGGCCCAGCCATCCGCCAGGGTCAGCTTGGCCCTCCCTTTGCAGGACAGTGGTAATGCCCATTGCTCACGAGTTCTCACCTGACATGGTCCTAGTCTCCGCCGGGTTTGATGCTGTTGAAGGACATCTGTCTCCACTGGGTGGCTACTCTGTCACTGCCAGATGTGAGCCTGCTGGGGGATTGAGGGAGGGTGTGGAATAGTGAGGATGGAGTTGAGTGGGGGCATGGGGCAGGGAATAGACTGATATTGCTGGGGATGGGGAGGGGAGGGGCAAGTGGAAGACTTGGGAGTCATCTTGATAGCTCCCCCTACTTCCCTCTGCCAACCTGGGCCTTTGGGGGGCACGCAGGTAGAAGTAGGGCGGCAGGGTATATCTCCTGCTGGAGCTGTAGGGATGGAGCTTGTTGATCCCTGATGTTTCAGGGATGCTCCTTATAAGATAGCATGTAATTGGATTTTTAGCTAGTCTGTTATGTTTTTGTCTGCGATGGAGCATTTGGTCCATTGACATTACATTTTATTGTGGATATATGTGGGTTTAAATCTACCATCTTATTTTGTGTAATTTGTCCCACCGCGTGTGTTTTTTTCTCTCCTTTCTTATTGTCTCTTGAGTTGATTATTTTTCCCCATTTCATTATCCTCCTTTTACCCATCCCCAAAGGTTTTGGCCACTTGACCAGGCAGCTGATGACACTGGCAGGGGGCCGGGTGGTGCTGGCCCTGGAGGGAGGCCATGACTTGACCGCCATCTGTGATGCCTCTGAGGCCTGTGTCTCAGCTCTGCTCAGTGTAGAGGTGAGGGGTGGAGGGAGGGGCTGGAGAGGGGGACAGCGAGCCAGGGGGGTGAGGGGCCAGCAAGGGATGTCCTCTTGCCTGGGTCAAACAGCACTGAGGGCCCTTGGGAAGGTTTTCCTGGGTCCTAAGAATAATTGTTGGCCAGGGAGGGCTTTCTGAATGGGGGTTCCTCTAAAAAGGCTGTGCATGTCCCTGTCATGACGGATGTCTGGGGCTCAATGCGGGCAGTTAGAGGGGCAGTCATAGCCACCCCACTCCCCACCCTAAGCCTTCTCTTCTTTCCCTTGCCAGCTGCAGCCCTTGGACGAGGCAGTTTTGCAGCAAAAACCCAACATCAATGCAGTGGCCACACTAGAGAAAGTCATTGAGATCCAGAGTACGTGGGGACAGGTGGAGGGGCTCAGACCTCAGCCTAAGGGGCTGGAGGTTGAGGGAGCACAGGGGCTAGGGACGTACACTGGGGGTTGCTTGCCTTCTGACCCCCTGCCCTTCCCTCCTCCACAGGCAAACACTGGAGCTGTGTGCAGAGGTTTGCCCCTGGTTTGGGCCGTTCCCTACGGGAGGCCCAAGCAGGTGAGACTGAGGAGGCTGAGACTGTGAGCGCCATGGCCTTGCTGTCGGTGGGGGCCGAGCAGGCCCAGGCTGCTACAGCCCGGGAGCACAGCCCCAGGTGAGTCCCCCACCCCAGCCTCTCTGCTGTCACCCAGCCTGGTGCTGCCCACTCAACGCCCTTCCTGTGCTTGTCCCCACAGGCCAGCAGAGGAGCCCATGGAGCAGGAGCCTGCCCTGTGACACCCTGGCCCCATCCCTCTGGGCTTCAGCATTGTGATTTTGTTTATTTTTTCTATTAAAAACAAAAAGTCACACATTCAACAACGTGTGCCGTGTGGGTCTCTCAGCCTCACCCCTCCTGCTCCTTTAAGCTGCCTCAGGCCCCCCACCCTGTGGCCCACATTTCAGCTCTAGAAGTTTGCTCCTTCTGTAGGGGTGGGGGTATACTTTCCAGCCCCTCCCCCATGCTATATCCTCCACCCCTTTCCTGCATTCTGTCCTTTTCCCCTTGGAGCCTGGGCAGCTCAGGGTGGGCTGAGTCCCCTGACTGAGGAGGGAACAGTAAGTCGGTGCCTTGGCTTCAGCTGACTTGGGAGGAAATGCCTTAATTTCACCCTCCTCCCCTCTACAGCCTCGGGAGGATCTGGAGGGTCTGCTACTGTCTAAGATGCAGAATAGGGGGGGTGGGGTGGGCTTGCCTCCTGCGGTTCTCCACCCTGTCCCTGTTGCCCTCACCGTCTCTGCACAGACCCCTCCTCCTTTCTCTTGGCCTCAGCAACCATGGGAGGCTGGCTGGTGCCCTGGGATGTGGGCCTGAGGCCTGTAGGCAGGGCTGCCTTGCCTCACACTCCTCAGGGCCTATTTCCCCTTTCAGGGGGCTGAGAGGGTTGAAGTGTTTGGGGAGGGCTGGGGCTGGGCTCCTGGGTTCTGAGGGGCAGGAGGAGCCGCAGAACCAGGCCTGCTCTCCACCTTACACTATTGGCCTCGCTGCCCCTCTGCTGCACAGCCTGTGGAGAGGAAGAAGGTGGTTCCTGCAGGGGGGCTCCAGGCTGGTGAGAGCCCCCTTGCTGTTCAGGACTGGATTTCCCCCAGCCATCCAGCATGCTGCAAATAGAAGGGTCAGTGGTTCATTTCCTTCTTGGGGCCTTTTGTTTTGAAACTTGGGGATGGTGAGTGGGGTTCTAGAAGGGACAGGGCCAGAACCCAGGAACCCAAGAACCCAGGAGTTGGCTCTCAGCTGGAGCTTCTCTTCCTCCTGGGCTCCCTTCGCTGGCTACCAGCCCAGTGGAGCTAAGACTGGGAGGGGGCTGGGTTCTGCCCCTTCTCTTTCCCAGGAGTCCTGCTGAGCCCTGTTCCCGGGGACTAGGGGTCCACAAGGCTTCCAGGGAATGTTGTCCAGCCTGTTGGAAACCAAAGATGGGAAGTGGCTCCTAGGGGGCTGACTCTTCCTCACTCCTCCTCCCCAATACCATATACACTTTCTTCTCCCATCCCCAGGGCCCCTCCAATCTGTTTACATATTTATTATCCTAATGGGGGCCTGAGCAGGGTTGAGGGAGCCAGGGGAGGGGCAGGAACCCCACCACCATTGGTTCATTGTGCACTTCTGTGTTTTATGTTCTAGATTCTCCTGGTGGATGGGGATGGGGCTAGGCCCAGTGTACCAGGCCTCCCTGAGCTGAGCCCCAGGCTCTGGGCCCCTTTCCTTCCTTCTCCTTGTGGCTGGTCTGGTTCCATGTAAACTCATCCTCGCTTTGTCTCCCTGGATATGGATTTTAGTTAAGTATTTTGTAACCTGTTACACTGTGTGTCCTTGTGTAAATAAACTTGTTTCTGGCAGTGCCTTCTGGGGCCAACGTCTGTTCTCTGGGCTCCCAAGTGGAGTAGAGGTACTCATCCCCCTTAATACCACCCAAAACTGCTCTTCTGTTCTCCAGCCCCTGGACTAGAAGCCAACTGAAGCAATAGGAGGCTTCCCAAGTGGAGTAGAGGTACTCATCCCCCTTAATACCCCCCAAAACTGCTCTTCTGTTCTCCAGCCCCTGGACTAGAAGCCAACTGAAGCAATAGGAGGCCACAGTGGGATGGGATGTCTGTCCTGTAGATGAAAGACAAGGGACCTCTCGTATGGCTTAGGAGGTAAGGGGTGTGGAAAGGACCCAGGGCCGAGAGGTCTCACCTGAGTTTATAGCCCTCTCCTTTCCTATGACTCTGTAGAAACAGGGCTGGAGGGGGCGCAGACAGGTGGCCTGGCAAGGGTTCCACTTGGGTACATACAGGCCATTTCAGTGGAGATATGCACACAGGCAAGAAAGGAATCCAGAAGTACGGAAGGGTTTTATTGGCGCCACCCTGAGCCGCCCCTCACAGTGTTACATCGATCTGCTGGTCTTGCTGTTGCCTTTGCTCTTTAGGGACTTGGGAGGAAAGGCAGGAGGACTAGGCTCTTTGGGAGAGAGAAGGCCCTTCTTTGGGGCTAAGACCAGGTGGTGGGAGAAGCAGGAAATTCAGGGAGAGCAGGTTCTGTTTGGGGGCTGGAAGGGGATGGGGCTGCTTCCTGGAGTGTCACGCAGTGTTGGCTTTGTGGAGGAGAAGTGCCAGAAGGAGGCATGAGAAGTCAGGAAGAGCGGATGGGTGGTACTTCCTGGGCACCAAACATTTGCACTGCCCAGGGCACAAGGGCCAGGACGAGGCATGGCCAGAGGGTGTACTTGAGGAAATTGAAGATGTAAAAGAGGCTGATCTGAGGGGGGTGGCCCATCCAGTCCAAGGGGCCCAGCAGCCCTATGGCCAGCACAAAGCAGGCTATCTTCTGGCCATTCCCCAGGTGTGCCCGTCGTACCTGGGCATAGCAGGGAGAGTGCAGGGCAATGCCCAGACCCAGGGCAGCCCCTGAGTCACGGCTCAGGGAGGCAAAGGGCCGGCTGTCCACATGCACCCATTCGGGCCGCTCACACCACTTGGAGGCTAAGCTGATGGACCTGTGGGGAAGAAAGAGTCCTTGCCAGGAGAGACTGGATCCTAGAGGGCCACTGGCTCTTAGCCATCTGCCCTTTGGGGCCCACGCGCATGTTCTGATATGACCCTAGGAGGGTTTATGTTTGTCAACAGGTAATTTGTCCTTTTTCAGCTACAAGGAACCAGAGATGCACCAGGCTAAGTGAAGCCAGCCTAACCAGGCTTCAAAACAGGACTTACCAGGAAAGATCCAGGCCCAGTGTAAAGAGGGTCCAATAGATGAGACTGGCGCCCAGCATGAGGACTAGTGCAGTCAAACCATAGAAGCTTAGCTCCCGCTCCATGGGCACCCGGGGAGCCATCAGCCAGCCCAGGACAGCACCTAGGAGAGTGGGGAGACAGCAGCTTCAAGCGGTTTGGTGATATAACATCCTCCCCCCACTGAGCTGCAGTGCAGCTTGGGAAGAAAACAGAATAAGACTTAGGGGGGCTTGGGGTTGGCTCTATAGAAGCTGGGAATGATGGAAGATTCTAGACTGGTCCTCCCACTGCCAAAAACTCCCTCTTGGCCCACCCTGTTATCCCAGTTGCTCACCAGTTATCAGGCCAGCCAACACCTGGTGAGGGAAATGTGCTAAGATGAAGACCCGGGATAGGCCGACTGCCAATAGGAAGGTGCAGTAAGCCAGGCTAGGCATCACCCTTAACCAGCGGCTAGAAGGAAGAGAGACAAATGGCTCAGGGGGCGTCCACACACAGCCTGGCTTCCCTCAGCACCAAGGCACTTCATGGTTTGACCAAATACCCCAGGGTCCTCCTCAGAACTCCATCTCTCGGGCTGCCTTGCTGCTGGGTTCTTTGGGTCCAGGGTGCCACCACCCCTGCTCCCAGTGGTGGCAATGCCCAAGGGTATACCTGCGGGCCCGAGCGGCCACTTGGGAAGACAGGGCTGTCATTATGGGCCAGAGGGCTGCTCCCGTGATCATGCAGTGTCCAGAAGGGCTGCCTGCAGGGAATCCAGAAGCTGGTGGTGAGAGGATGAAGGCAGAACCCATGTGCCCCTGGTGATACCCACCACAGCTGCTTTACCATGGCTGAGAGCTTTCCCCCAGCATTGGTCCATAGCTCCCTCTGCCCTGAGGCCTAATGAAGCCCCACTTGAGTGACTGCTCTCAGGCTTCTGCCTCAACCTGTGTCTCTTGGCCCTACTCTATACAAGGTGGGCAGCTGGTACATGGCATAGGTGCCCTCCCATAATTCAACTTGCTCTTCCTGGGGTTTCTTTGTTCTCTGGGCCAGTAACTGAGAGGCTGGGCCTCTGATTGGGCCACCCTGACTGAAAAGTACTCAAACATTCCTCCAAACCCTAACCACATTGGGAAAGAGGAGGTTTGAGGCTTCCCACCTGGGCCAGTTTCACAAGAAGAGGGGAACTGGTGAACCTGGGCTGGTGCCTGATTGTAGTACCCAGATTCATGGACCCACCAAAAGGGCCTGTCTCCAAACAGAAACCTGGAAGAGATCAGATGCAAGATGACGTTATACGCTCACATGGGGGACTAGAGGGGGGCAGAAGGACACCTATGAGTATTCTGGAGGGCCTGAGGGGTGAAGTCAGAAAGGGACTCCAATTCTGTGCCATTACCTTGCCATGGTTTTCTACCTTGGAACAGGAGAAAGTGATAAGAAGGAGGCATGAGATTGTGGTAAGTGTGTGTATATGCTCTGAGACACTCGAATGTCCCACTCTTACCCCTTCCCACTGCAGGGCCAACTCCTTTCTTCTCCTTCACAGAGAGCCCAGGACCTGGCTCTCTCCTTGCCAGACCTTCAACGACCCTCCTGCTACCCCCCACTCCATGTTCCCAATTCCAGCCTGAATCAGCCACCCCTGAATTATTTAGATGAGTCTCTCATGTCTGAAAATGGGAGTGGAGAATGGACAGAGGAGGCTGAGAAAGAATAAGGAGGACAAAAAATTCAAAATCCCCTGGCCTAGCAAGCACTCGGCTGGGCCCTGGGAAACCACATACTGAAGAGGCTCCTGTGGGCAGATAAAGACAAGGAGGGAGAGCGGAAGAGATGCTGGCAGGAGGCCAAGCTCTGGGGAGGGAAATACAGAAGGCACTTACCTCTCCCCACCAGAAATTAAGCCTAGTACAAACCAAGCACTCAATACCTACTTAGAAAATGAATAGGGGCTTTGTCACTTGGGGACATTAAGAGCATCTGGGGAACAGGACTAGAGAGGGAGGCTTATACAGCCTCTGAGGAAGGAGAGAGCACAAAGCAAAAAGCAATTAAGCAAGAAGGAAATGATTAGACAATTGCTTTCCGTTTGCAGTAGGGATGAATCTCTTGTGGAGAACACAGAAGAGAAGGTAACTCCTATTGTGTTTCAGCAAGTCATTCCAGCCCATTCAAGTGTCTCCTCTGAACTTCTCTTCCTTCCTCCAGGATGGGTATCTGGCAACAGAGGCTGAGGTGAAGGGAGGTGTGGCTGCATGCCCAGCAAGAAGCATAGCTGCCACTGTGCCCAAGAGAGATAGAACAGGTGGCACAAAGAGATGAGCCCCAAGGGGCGCAGGGCCTCCCCACTTGCCTGGGATTTCTGGCTTCTAAGTCTCAGTGTGATGAACTTACTAATGAATGAAGGGGAAAGATGAAGAGAAAGTGTTCCTTGGAAGGCAGTGCTTTAGCCCAGCGCTTTTCGAATTTTACTGTGCACAGGAATAACTGGGGATCTTGTTAAAATGCAGATTTTGATTCAGTAGCTTTGGCCCAGGGCCTGAGATTCTGCATTTCTAGCAAGCTTTCAAGTGCTGCCTATGCTGTTGGATAAGGTCCAGGGACCACACCTTAATTTGCAAGCTTTCTCTGTCCTTAGCAGCTAGTGTGGTGATGCCTGGCACGGAACATGCTTCTTACAAATTATGTCAAATGAATGAATAGATGAATGAAAAAGTGAGTTGAGTAGTAGGACTTTCTGCTACTTAAATCATCATGTACGCTTGTTAAAGTACAGATCCCCCCCCCCCCCCCCCCACATGCTTCTTACAAATTATGTCAAATGAATGAATAGATGAATGAAAAAGTGAGTTGAGTAGTAGGACTTTCTGCTACTTAAATCATCATGTACGCTTGTTAAAATACAGATCCCCCCCCCCCCCCCGCCCCGAGTATCTAAATCAGTAGGTCTGAGTTGGGATGGAGTATTTGCATTTTAAACACGTCCCTTAGGTGATTTCTCTGATCAGGCCAGTTTGAAGAACACTGGTCTAATGAGTAGAATGGGTGGACTCTGCGGTCTGAGTCCAAGATGCACAAAGATGCTCAAAGGGGAAAATCAGGGGCTACGGGGTAGAGTTGGGAAGGCTTTTGAGACACCTGCTGAGAGAGAAACCGAGGCTTGCAAGGGACTCAGGGCCCTGCGGGTGGGGGGAAGCGGGGGGTGGGGGGAGTTGGGGACCAGGATGCCGGAGGGCTTTGCTGTCTCACCACTTGAAGACGAGGTTGAGCCACTCGGCGATGAGGCTGATCCACAGCACTGCGATGCCCACGCGGCGAGAGGTGTAGTAGGCCGCGGGGAAGTAGAACAGAAAGAGGATCTTGGGATCGCCCAGAAAGGTGACCCAGAGCCACACGTTCTCCAGCCAGGGCAGCTGGGTCTGCAGCGCCTCAGCCATCGCGATGCCCGCGCCCAGCGTGGACTCCATGGCGACCCAGGAGCCCGCCGGGCCGGGGATTGCCCTAGGACGGAAGCCAAGGAGTCCCCACTACAAAAAAGCCGCTACCCGCCGTCCTCCAAAGCCCACCTTGTGAGCCCCAGGCCCCGCCCTCCCCGCCTGGGGTCTGCGCCAAGGCCCGCCCACTGCCCCGCCCCCGGCAGTCCCAAGCCCGCAGCGGAGACTGTTTACTGTTTCCTCCTGCGCTCTGCTCCGGCCTTCCTCTCTACTGGGAGGCGCAGGGGACAAACCTTTGCGAAGGCGTTTCCTCAGGGCCCCACGTGGCCGCTATTGCCGGCACGTGGGCAGCAGGCGTAGTGGCTGCACCCGCTGCTGTTCCGGGTCAGAGGACGGACTAGCCCGCGGGCCGGTGGCGCGCTCAGGGTCCGTGCTCTGCTGCTGCGAAGGCGGATGTATCATCTTCAGGGCCAGGATTCTTCCAGACCGACCTCTCTTCTCCAGTACCACCCCTCCCCCCCCAAGATCTGAGAGAAGACTATGGACACCCCTCCTCCAGGGAGCTGGAGCGGGCCCCTAAATTTGCCCACATTGCTAATCCGTCCACGCCTTCATCCTCCAGCCCAAGACTCCCATCCCAATTCATCCGCTGTTGATTTGGTGGCCGAAAGAGAGATGAGCATCTTGACTTTGTGGGGTCTTCCCTAAAGACTTGCAAATTGTTACATGTAGTACAAAATCACACTTCCTTTCAGTTCTAACCTTTCCTTGCCTCCTCCTTCCATCTTCCTGCCTTCCAAAACCCTGCTGGGCAGATAAACCAAGAGACAGTAACAGTGTTGGTATGGGAAGAGGAGGGTCACACAGCCAAGACAATGAAATAATCCGGAGGAACACACGGAAAGTAGAAATCTCAGTTATTCTAGGTGAGGACCTACTTAGAGCCAGAAGTAGGATGAGAGGAGACTGTTGCAGTGGCTCCTCAGTTTCTCCCTACTTCAACTAACTTTGTTCTTAGGTTTTCTGATGGGTGGATGAAAATGAGAATGTAAATCTGGGTTCTTATGAGAAAGAGATTGATTTCACTAATTATGAAGGTGTTGGGGGAGGGAAGCTGGATAGGAATCTTAGTTCACTCTCTTGTTAAGTGTTCTTCAATTGCCCCAAGGAAAAAGCCTGGATTTCTTACTTAGTCCTTGCCTTGGCTCTAGCCTCAACCTTCGCCATTCTACCCCCACACTCGGCTTCATAATATTTCTGAGCTATTCTATCTTCCATGAAATTACCCCTTTTAGGGGTCCTGGCGTATGCAGTTTCCTCTGTCCCTGCTGATCCTTCAGGTCTCAGCTTAGATTTTTCACTTCCTCCGAAAGCCTTTCCTAACAGTGCCTGGAAGTCATATATGAAAACCTGTGGTTACATGTGACTTGTTTTGGGGGCCAGAAAAGGACGAGAGACTTGAAAGTTCTCTGAAAAAACACAAGTATGAGGGAGAAGAATTTTTATTCCTATTACAATACCCCCAACACGAGGAAGTTCCTGCCTCTCACAGGGTAAGGAAGCACTTTTGAACTTAAGTAATGCCAGGGCTGGCCCTTTGCCTCCTTCTGGACTAAAGAAAAGTTAACCTGTCTCTCATACAGAAGGCTACAAAATTTCTATATTGAAGGATGAGTGGGTCAAGGATGAAAATTGGTGGTGGTTGGGGCTCGAAAATCCACCAACAGAATACCTTACATAAAATTAAGAAAACAACTATTTTGCATATCAGATGGACATTAATGGGAGGCCCCAAACCCTTCCTCCAAGGCCCCTTTTGTCACTATAACTGCTCCTCTTTCCTGCCTTTTGCCTGGAGGAGAGGGCAAGGGAAGAGATGGGGAAATGTCTTGAGTTCCAAGGGTGATGGGTAATCATGGGGAACTACTATTTATTGAACACCTACTACATGCCATGCATATGTACGCATCATCTCATCTAAACCACCTAACTATTCTTTGATGTAGGTATTATTATCTAATATAGTATAGCAGTAAATAGCACTGTCTTTGCAAACAGGCAGACCATGTTCTTGCTAGTTATGCGACCCTGGACAAGTTTGGTCTATGACTTAGTTTCTTCTATAAAATAAGGATATTGATTCCTACCTCAAAGGGCTGTTGGATGCTCAATAAGTGATAATATAGATGACAATGAAAAAACAGATCAGGTTTAGTAGTTTGATCAAGGTCACATAATTTATTTTATTTATTTATTTATTTATTTTTAAAAAGACCAGTAAGGGGATCTTAACCCTTGACTTGGTGTTGTCAGCACCACGCTCACCCAGTGAGCGAACCGGCCATCCCTATATAGGATCCGAACCCGTGGCCTTGGTGTTATCGGCACCACACTCTCCCAAGTGAGCCACGGGCCGGCCCAAGGTCACATAATTTAGCAAGTGGCAGACCTGGGATTCTGATTCCGGTGTATCTAATTCTATGGCGTATGTTCTTTCCACTACCACTTTGTAATTAGGTATAATCATCTTGAGCGACTTTTGCTAATCCCTCTGGGCCTCTGATTCCTCATATGTAAAACAGGGATAATATATAATATTTTATAGAGTTCATTCATTACACTGTTGTGTGCAAGGTGTGCATACAATGGAGGCTGCAGCTCCCTCCTCCTTGCCCTTGTCATTGCACGTGGGTCATTAACGTTTAAAATGGATACTATAAGCACTTAACCCAGCGGGCGCAGCTGCACAAACATTATTCAGATTCCCCTTTATTTCCTCTTCTTTCCTCTTCCACCTCGGCTTCCGCCCCACCCAGCCCGCAGGCCACGCCCCGGCGTGTGGCGTCAGCACGCCCCGTGCGTCGCGTCGCGTCGCGTCGCGGCGCTCACTGGGGGCCCGGCTTTCGGGCGAGTACTTTAGCGTTGGAAGCCAGGTGTCGTGCCGGACGTGCCAGGAGCAGCGGCTGCAGGGCGAAGTGGTAGCCTTCGACTACCAGTCCAAAATGCTGGCTTTAAGTATCCTTCCCTGCGTGGAGCCCGAGGCCGGGCCGGCGTGTAGGTGCAGTGGTGAGGGGGTGGGGGACGTCGGCGGCGGCTGGGGCCCTCTCCGGGCCTAGGGGCGACCGGCTACCGCGGCTCCCGGAGCGCATGCGCACGGCCCTGAGCTCCCTTCCCCCTCCCGCGGGCCTTTTGGTCCGCTTTGGGGACCGTGTCTCCTGTCGTTTGCGGGAGCCGGGCCCCGACCGAAGGATGGTGGGTGGAGGGGGCTTGACACGCGAATGGTTTTTGGGGGGGAAACTCTATGAGAGGGGACACATTGATTAGGAGAAGGGGTGGTAGTGGGAGGGGGTTGGTGGATTGGAGCCCGGATGGAAGGGGGGTGGATAAAATCCTGTGGGGAGAGGGGTGGGTTAGGGTAAGGAACTGCTAGCTAGTAGGGCAAGGGTATTGAATTTAGGAAGAGGTCACTGATGGGATTTGGTCTAAGAAAGGGCGTTGGGGTGGTGACCAAATGGGCATGCCTGTTTGCGGGGAGAGGAACTGCAAGGTAGAGTTTGTATTTGAGCTGGAGATAGTGGTTTGTTTTGCTGGTGCGTGTGTATGCGTGGTGCCGTTGGGTTGGGGGGAGGGTGCTGGTTTTTAAACTTCTCATTCATTTGGATATTACTATATCGGGGATGTTTGCATTGGAAACCTGGTCCAGAGAGGGCTTGCCACGTTTTTCATGGGCTTATGGAGGGATGTGTGGGTTGCAGGTGAAAGAGTAAGTTCTCATTTTCTCTTGCTTACTCCAGCACATGCAGTCCTGATTTTTCCATAGTTGTATCCTCTCTTTTGAAAGTAGCAGTGTCAAACTGAATGGGAAAGGATTTCTGAATTACTCCAGGAAAGTCAATCTTGGAAAGAAAACACTTCCTGGTTGGAATAAATGTGCCACCACTTTCCCTTTTATTTGAGCTACAGGTGGGTTTATTTAAATATTTTTTTGGAGTAATCCTTTATGGCATCTTTCAAAAAGAAGTTTCCTACTGAGTCTGCTGCCTTTGAGTGGCAAGTATTTTAATTCATTTAACTACTAGTTGTAGATTTCTAGCTTAGGATGATGTCCTCTGCAACTAATTTCAGCAAGAAGAATGCCTTTTTTTTTTTCTTTTAGGCCACATTTGGGTCAAATAAGACCTTTTACAATAGGTTTAGTTGTAAGGGTCCTGGAATGAGTAATTACTGCATATAGCAGGCTTAGTAAATGGTTGGAGAATGAGTGAATGTAATGAATGAATGAGTAAATGGTTGGAGAATGAGTGAATGTAATGAATGAATGAACGAACGAACGAACGAACGAACTAGCGGGGTCATCTTGGGTGAATTTCCTTTCCAGTGCTGTAGGTTTTTCCTCTGTAAAATGGGAAATCTCAAATCAGAAAGTATTGGCTCTTCTGTGTGGTTCATAGGTTCAAGAGAAACAGTATACATAAGGAATTAAAACCACATTGTGCCTCTCCAAAAAACCAGGGGAGAGAAGGTGACAGGAACTCTTTTGAGGCTTCCAATTTTAGGTCTTGAAATGCTTGAGATCTTTTGGTTATGGGTTTGGGCAGGAGGAAGGTGACAGGCACAGATTTCCTGAGGAGAGCTGTGATTCTTATGAGGCCCTCTTGCTTGTGGCATGCCTTGTACACAAAGCCTTAGGTGAACTGTGTTTTTTATACCCCTTTTGGGATGTGTCGGTGCCTCTGCTTGCTCTATTTTTCTTAACTTTATTTTCTTACCAGAATGTCCCTCTTCCAGTGGAAAGCCCAACCATGCAGACATCTTGCTCATAAATCTACAGTATGTTTCAGAAGTGGAAATAATTAATGACCGAACAGAAACCCCTCCTCCCCTAGCCTCACTCAATGAAATGTAATGAATGAATGAGTAAATGGTTGGAGAATGAGTGAATGTAATGAATGAACGAACGAACGAACGAACTAGCGGGGTCATCTTGGGTGAATTTCCTTTCCAGTGCTGTAGGTTTTTCCTCTGTAAAATGGGAAATCTCAAATCAGAAAGTATTGGCTCTTCTGTGTGGTTCATAGGTTCAAGAGAAACAGTATACATAAGGAATTAAAACCACATTGTGCCTCTCCAAAAAACCAGGGGAGAGAAGGTGACAGGAACTCTTTTGAGGCTTCCAATTTTAGGTCTTGAAATGCTTGAGATCTTTTGGTTATGGGTTTGGGCAGGAGGAAGGTGACAGGCACAGATTTCCTGAGGAGAGCTGTGATTCTTAT